AATTACGCGGCCGGAGTCGCGAGCGACAGCTAGTATATTATAATTGCTGTCTAGCACCTTAAAAAACGGAAAATAATACACACATAGCAGGGAGGAGATAATGTCGGTTGTCGGCGACTGTGTACACTGACTGGCGAGAGTCTGTCGCTGCTCCTGAATAATCTATAGGGTTTAATATTCACCTACCTATCCGTCTGGGTTTGCTTTTGTGTACTTTTTAATTAAAGTTTTTAGAAAATCGAAAGAAAGTTTCATATTTATAATCCCAAGAGCTTAGATATTGGTGAACAATATTTAAAACTCTTTTAGGAATACAAAAAAATTGAGTTTTTTGGAGCCAACAGGCAAACCTTTTCTCTTAACAAAGTCTTTGTTGGGTTGTCTTTTTTTTAAAAGTACTAAAGATCTAAAGCTATTTTAGAAGCTGAAGCAGTTTAAAAGTAATATTTTTCTCGCATTGGTTACTTGCTTATATTGGGGAGCCTGTAAAGAGTTTTATAGCAGTTCATAGCTGAACTGTAGCTTTGTGAAAGTCTTCTTTGTACTGCAACGGGGCCTTTAAATTGGAAATACCAATCGGTTCGTGCGTGTTTCTGACGTTTAATTATTTCAAAGTTTCTTTGTCTCGCTTAGACTGCACGAAAGGGTATGTCCGTGCTTTTGTATCTTTGCTATGTTAAAGCGAAAAATGTACCTCTGCGGACCAAAAAGCTTTTAGAGACAACTCTATCATACGACTATAGTTTCCTTTGATCAGGGAATGAAATGCTTCTTTATAAACGTCGTTGGAGGATGGTAGGGGCAAGGGGCAAGCAACGTAAAGAATCGAAAAAAAAAATAGAAATATATACTACTCTGAAATACTAAGATCCTTACAATTTCTATAGATCAATGTAGAAAACTCAATATACAATTGATAATGAATCTTTGTTTATTGTGTCAAAACTGTTCTAGTCATTTTTTTTATTTTGCAGAATTCTTGATAAAGTTTTTTTCGAAAGGTAAACCACATCCAAATATTGTATCAGAATAGATAACGTAAATCTCCTAAAAGTACAAACATGGTGTAGAAACGTAAATTACAATGTCAGTGGACTTGATTCAAGCCGTAAAAATGCCAGCAGTTATAAAAGGCAACAAAAGAAATGAATGAAAGTCGAAATAGATATAGTTTTATAGTGTTTTATCACTATAAAATTAAGACCTTATTTTGTGACAGAAGTGTTTGTTTGTAATTTGTGTCATATGCAAATAATGCGTTAAAAATGTGTGTGTTGAAAATTGGGTAAACATGATAATAAATTAATAAAATTAATCATCAATTACTTCATAGTTATTATGGATGTGTAAAATATAAATTACGTTATAATTTTCAATAATTTAAAACCGGTCGGTGGTCGATTAGTGTGAGCTCGCATTTCATTATCCAAACAAACAGAATAAGCTCGATCCACAGCCGCCATTATTGAACGGTATAATTTCCACTTCCTCTGATATTCATTATGCTGTTTTAATTATATTATTACAAATATACATTTTGTACATAAAACAAAACAGTATAACGAAGTATTAAGGGTTTCTTATTTCCTGAAATCCATTGAAATATAAGCAACATCATAAAATCTGTGTCTAATTTCCTCAGCCCTTAAGGTCCTTTCTTCTTGACCATCTCGCATAGGGTGTATCACCATTCTTTGCGCTCAGCGATGTGGGTCATCCACATCGCTGAGCGCAATTATGCATTGTGGTCATCATCGTTATATATTGGATGGCATTATGCATGTATTGTACGATAAACAATACGGTGATTAAATCAACCTATTCTGATACGCTGCTAGATTTTTTAATACAATTCTTTGGATATATTCAGAGAAACGAAATTGTAATACGTTTTATTGTAAACACTAACTATTAGACGCATTCTTTTTTGTCAGTATTATCGTGATAAATTATCTAATAACAGTATTTTTATATCAAATAGAAACAAACAACTATATAAAGCACTATTACTTTACGTCATTTGGTAAGCTCCTTCCCGTCGCAGTTGGCTTGTAGTTTAAATTAGTTCTCTTACCGCTAGGCTCATGATAAATCTTTCCATCCTTCCTTATTTTCATGCCCCTAATCTCCTGTCCTATTACCTTGATCGATGGCTCTTTGTAGAGTAAACTTATCAGCGCACGTGAATATAATGAAATGCCACTCTATGTATCATCGTAAAATTATGAATTATGCCAAGGATAATATTTTTCCTGATATAAATGAAAAACCTCCCTACTAAGTGTAGGCCTTGAAAGCTTTTTTATACTTATTCCTAATCCTAATAGCTCGGTCTAAGGCTGCGCCCACTTAAGTAGTTTAAAACTACTTTCACCAGAGATTATTTCAAGAAAAAGTTACAAGTGCAAAGTTTTAGAGTATTCCAAGTTGAGGAATCTTTATATTGCATATCTTACACAATTCGAAAGTGCGTAGGAATTTTCTTGGCTAAATAATGGTGGCGACAACTACATAGATAAGCAATGATTTAATTTTTATTATATTTTGGAATAATACAACGTCAGATTGATCATTTTATTACATAGTTTTGCGTATGTTATACAAGAAAAGTAGAAAATATTTCAAGAGGAAATTTTGGTAAAGAATCCTGGTCAGCCAGGGTAGAAATTTTCTATAGTTAAATGCCTTAGTTATTAAGTAAATATCAAAAGGTTGATGTTAGTCAATATCAGCGCAGTGGTATACATAAAAGGCGATAAATTATCCACCACTGCAGTATCTCTCTGTTTAGACAGTTTTTTTTTATTATATTGAAAACTTTAGGTGTATTTAAACAAGGAGAAAATGTTTTACATCTGTACATTTTAATGAATACTCTCGTGTGGCGACGTTAATTGAAAAAGTTGTACTGAAATGAGCAGAATTAATTATGCGATGAAAGGGTGAAAGGTCAAGAATTTGTTCTGAATTGTTTGCAGCCAGGTAAAATATTTTAAATTTATCACGAGCTTACATAATTAAAAACTTGAAACTAAAAACAAATCAGGTAATGTATGGTAAGTACAGATTGAAATTTAATTGGAATGCTTTTCAATTCACCTACGATTTGAGTTGTTCAAATTCAAATATTTTATACCGAGCAAGCGTTATTGAAAAATATGAATGCTTAATTTCAGTTAGATCTACGCTCAATATAAATTTTACACGAAATCTATTAACGGAGCGAACTCGACGAGTGCTCTACAAAATAAATTTAGCAAATATTAATATTCCATTTATTCGTAGTAATATATTTTCACACATATAATCTTACTAATATTACATACGCGAAAGTTTAGATGGATGGATGGATTTTGTTACTACGTATCTTCATATCAGCTACACGGATCACGCTGAAATTACCTTGCCTATGACTTAGAACATAGTCTGGAAGAACAAGCTACTAATATTTTTTTATTCTTCGCGGACGGATTCACGGGTGACAGCTTGTATGGAATAAAATACAAAATCCAAATGTTTGTCCTAAATTTTCGCCTGATTACATACGTAAGTCTAGCCTTAAAACGTGGAGTCCGATTTAGCTAATACATTTAATGTCATAGATATAGGAATATCACTTGTTTTTTAATGTTTATTTATACGAAGTTTTTATGGATACGAACTAGTGGTTAAGCTCTTCAAATTTCGAACAACATGCATGTAATGTTTAGACAGAAATTATTAATTAATTTAATATGTTTTCTATGATTCTCTAGTCATCAATACGGTTTAGACGTGTACTTATATTAAATAGGCGACATGTGATTCATCTTGATACACAATGATTATTGTTTATTCAATAAAACGTTCGCAAAATGTGTACAAGGTAAGTCTCCAAGGTATATTTTGCTGTAAAAACAACTCAATCATATAATTTCTTTTACAAATATTTGTAGAAAGTCACATGCGAGCAATTTGTCTTGCAAACAAAATTATTTTCGATGTTTGGAAAATGTTTATAGGTAATTTTTTTCAGACATTTCACTCGCGTTAGATTACGTTTCTATTGAACTGTTTTCCTGTTATATGGACTCAATTAGAAATTTTTAATATACTGACATAAGTATTGTAGCTGGCGATGCAGCGGTTTTCTTTTTTATTTTTTTCTCTATTTTCGTGATTTTTTTGTCTATTTCATTTATTCTTCTTCTTCTTGTCAGCCATGAGTCGCCCACTGCTGAGCATAGGCTTATTTCCTTTATTAAATGTATTTTATAAAATGAACTTTTTGTTCTATGTACGTTCAAAGCCCGAAACAGCAGTTATTTAAAGCTATTGCGCATACAAGTGTCATAATTTGGGTGGAAGCGGGTCGACATCGACGAGCCGGAGTTTTTAATTAAAGCGACAGAGGCATAAAATCAAAATGGCCACTCAAACTTTACGCGGAATGTAACCCTCGTATAATCTGTAATGACTTATTGTTTTATTTCCTTGTAACCAGTGTTATATTTGAATATTTTAATTAATCGTATGAAATATTTTTATGGTAAAATTATAAGTACGTTCACAATTGTAACAAATTGTACCTACTTCCACAATTGGTAAGGTTTGATAAAGTGAACAGACGCCGTAAGAAATACAAGTACATTCATCATCTAATATTAAATCCCAATACAAACTAAGACAACAAAACCTGTGCATAAATTAAAAAAAAAACAGATTTCACCATCATCACAATTTGACAAAGGCCTCCAGAATGAACAGCTGTCTGCCATTTAATATCCAAATTGTGATCTAGAAACTAGAAATATTTAATCTTACTACTCGTAATATTATTAATTCCAATGTTTAGATGTATGGATGTTGGTTTGAGGTAACTCGAAAACAGCTGAACCGATCGCGATAAAATTTGACATATATATAGCACATAGCCTGGTAGAACACACAGGGTAATTGTGTTTTTTTTTATTCCTTGCGGACGGAGTTGCAGGCGATAGCTTGTACAAAATATAACTCACCTTCTTCATAAACGACATAACATTTGTAGGCAGCATCATGTAGTTTTTTTCTTTCACTGTTACTTCATTCACACCATTATACCACACCAAGCACAGAACACTCTGTATCGTACATTAACTAATATGTAACTCAATCGGGTATTAGCATAAATACAATCAGATACAACATTTTATAACTTCAAAACTTTACTTCTCAAACTTCACCACTTTGTGTCACCAACACCTGAAACAAAAGAAATATGATTAAAGCATGATACTTGAAATCCTGTTTTACTAAAAAAAAGTTATTCTAGTAGGTAGTTCAATATTATCTTACTTCTTACTAATATTATAAATATAAATGTTTAGAAGGATGGATGTTTGTTTGAAGGTTTTATCCAGAACGGGTGAAATGTTTTTTTAAATTCGCACGAATGGAATCGCGGGCGACAGCTTAAATAGTAGGAAAAACTGATGGTAATAAAAGATTCGTTATTTTTTTTAGTTTGAAAAATATAAGGATATTATTTACAATTTACTATTTTTTTTCCAATAACTATCACCACTTATAATTATTATATTATAATAGTCCATTTGGCTCTTGACACTGAAAATTTTATTATACAGACATTAAATTAAAAATTTACTGTAATATAAAATAAGGTATATACTGTTAATATGAATCTAGTTTTTACAAGTCGGTTATTCCAGTGCTGTTCCCATTGGAGCATAATGAATGACCATTCAAAGCAAAAACTGAATTAGTGCTTTCATTTTCCACTCCAACGTAAAATAAGGAGTGAAATTTATTATACCGCTTCCATGAATTAAATAACTACACTACAGAGAAGCGGAAATACTTATGTATAATATTTTAATTAAAGTATATAAAAATAGATATGAACATTAACTAAAAATGAAATATATGAACATTACAGTACATAAAATATAATAATTTATTTATTTTCATTAATTATCTACATTTTCTATTAAATAACTTTTATAAATATGTTTTTTTGTTTGTGTGAGATCTTGTATATTTTATCCGAGTATCTACCTCTCAACCAAACGGTACAGGGTAGGCTCCGAGCTCCTCTGCGGGATACCGCTATCAATAGGTATCGTAAAATAACTATTTAAGCGAAATGAATTAAAAGGCCATTCATTATTTGTATTCTAAGAACGATCTTAATACCATTTATATTTTTAAAATTGATATAGAATCGTGAGCTAGCATTCAATATCTGAGCTAGCGACTGCCGACAGCCAATTAGACGATTCGGTTATACCGCCCGACTGGAGCACGTTCCACATTCAGCCGGCGCACTCAATTACCCGCCAAAGTGAACTGCGACGGATTCTCTCATGCGTTCATCATATAATTATACTAAACGACCTCAGTCTTCAATATTGTAAAACCAGCATTCACTAACAATATATTTATTTGATTATCAACCACGAACAGCAGTGGACATTCAAATATTTTTTTCTGTTGCAAATATGGTAAGAAACAAGTTGATTAGTTTACACAAACTCTGTGATTCTTTAGTTCTTTTCTACTTTTGCATTCAACAAATCGAAGTTTTTAATCCTCTAGGTAACTTGTGTGATTGTTAATCTAGATACTACTAAGTCTACAATTCGTACAATATTTTATATACTAGGTAGAGATAATTAGTTTAAGTTGGTTAACAAATATTGGTTTCCTTTACTATCTCTGCAAAGTATGTCACCGCCCGATCTTGTATGCCAAGTCGAAATTGCATTTCTAGGTTAATCAATATGGGCGATGACATCGTTCGTTACATGAATTTGGTAAGCATATCATATATGTATTAATTCCCAGATATATTTCTGTGTTGTTTATGAATTTATTGTAAAATTATGAGTTCATTAATGAGTGCGTGAACAAAGACAACCCTCAATTAAATATATAGGTACTTATGACGACTTACAGATGTTTTCGTTTTGAAAACAGAGACATTAATTGCGGGGAAATCGTTATAAAAGCAACAGAAACAGCTGTATTGGTGATGGCTAGATAAGGCGATAGAATATGGTAACATATTAAATTAATACAGTCCTCTCTCGTAGGTACATCTCACTTATCGCAAAGAAATATGACTAGAAGTTAGTGATGAATAAATATAGGCATCCCTAAAACCTATAGATGCATATATTATATATAATAACGCCCGAGGCTAAATATTATTTAAATTAAATAGTTCAGTAATGTCAGTAGATTAATAATGCAAAGAACGCACAAAGCGCGGGATGCAATTTGCGTAAATATTTAGCCGTAGAATGCGATATTAAACAGGGCGGGTGAGTCGATTACGTGAGTCTATGGCGCGGATTACATCGGATAATTGGAACGAGTGGTCGCGGCCGGCAAGGCTCCCGGCACCCGGCATACAGCTTCCTTTGTTCTATTCATCTCCGCTCTCTGTGGCCGACAACTGATTGCAAGTGAAACAAACCGCGAGCCTTACCTCCCTTGTCGTCATGCAATTTAAACTCGCCTTTGTCTTGTATAACGTTCAGATTGTCCGTTTATCGCTACTCGACCTCTACTAGTGATAATAATATTGGCTTAAACTCGAGTGAGTATTATTATGCGTAATTTGTTTTATTCCTTGCATGTTGAAATAAAAGTTTTTTACGTTCTGGCGCTTAATTTAAAAAAAAAACTAAAAACATGCAGTGATATTTATAAATATTGACTGACATAGTTCCTTCTAAATGTTAGATAGACAGTGAGATAGCTCTCGGTATTACTTATTTGATTTATATCTGAAAGAGAGTTATAATCCTAGTTAATATTAAATAATTACAAAAAGCATTCTCAATAAAATTTTACTGGATTATTCAATTTCTATACCGGTAAGTCATATTTGAAACTCCAGAAACAGAGCTTTGGGCGTTGTCTGGTATTACAGATAGCGGCAAATAGTATTCGAACTAAAAATTTTTATTTATAGACGCTTTGTAACAACAGTTACATAAATAGTATTATTTTTTCATTTGATTGAACGTTTAATTATGAATTAAAATTAACGCCTTTCAAAATATAATAGCAAAATAGAAATAACATTTTTACAGCTATGGCATAACGTAAGGGCTTTGAGATTTTTGTACTACAATTTATTATTAAAAATAATATATTATTTATAGACAGATTTTTTCTCTTTTGCAAAAGAACAAGGTAATGTAAGGTTCCTTCTGGTCCCTTTGCTCTTATTCTTCGCTTAAGCTCTCTCTGTCGTATGTGGTCATGCTCAATAAAGGACTCAATTTTTGTCTCAGCCTACATGAAAAAGATTCTGAAATAAAATGTCATTCCTTTTCTTAGTTCTCCCACTTTGACCACCACCATGGCTTGGAATAATCTTCTGATAGGTACCGACTCAATTGGTTATCGGAAATGTCTATAAAAAGTCGTGGTCATGTTAACGCCAACGAGAAGTTCCTTTGCGTCTTAGTTACATCTAGTGTACACATTGTTATCTTTGTTTACTGCATAAGGAAAGTCGTAACAAATTATTTATGCATTTACTAAAACGATATAATATAGAATGAATTTTAATACTAACAATGAGTTTTACGTTAAGTTACCAAGGCTATTTCGACGAGCGGCTGATAGTACTGGGGACGGTTTTGCAGTAAGCGGGCTCGCGTTACTTAGCGCCTGCATTTAAAGTTGACCCTGAACCATTGTCGCAATAATGTTACTTGTGAAAAAAAGGAACTAACAAAAATTTATGTTTGTACGCAGTATCGTAAGGTCACATTGCTAGAACATGTAATCTCATTATTTTGGCATTTAAATTAAAGAAATGATTTAAAGCAATTATTGTGAAAGGAGCACTTTTTATTTCAGTTTGATACAAATTCGTTACCAGTTTTAACAAATGTCTATTAGTTTTTGGTATATCAACATAACTTTGATTACATATAAATCAGAGAAGACGTTATCTTAAATCTAATCAGATTAAGATTGCCTGATTGTTACATATTTTCATATTAATAACTTTAAATACTACATTATAATATTTATAATAGAAATATAATAAGTTGGTTATTATTAAAGGAAATAATAAAAGCCATAATTGCAACATAGTTTTATTATTACCATCGTCAAACATCGTTTATTGGATTACATCTAACCCTTAGAACTTAAAATATAGGACAACTACAAAATTAGAAGTTACCTAAGGTCATATTTCATACCTGTTCAAATTATAATACAGTGAAATGGAAAAAAAAATGTTCTCATCGTGCAATATTTAAAGAAATTAAGATCCATATCACAATACTTAGAAATTTATATTAAAAAACAAGCTCTTATGTCTTTTTATTGATTACAAAAAACCCAAAATAATGCAAGGCAGTATTTATGGCGAGTGATTTTGTCACTTCAAAGGAACATAAAAATTGGTACAGCTCTATATTCGAAGTCCATTCTCAGAGCACAAGATGATTCCGATTCTTCACTGCCACTGTTAATAATTTTAATAAATTTATATCATAATAATTCATAAAACCATATATTAACGAAAAAATTATATTATTCTACTCTATGAATTTAAGTAAAACAAAACAAATTGAATTTCTAAGAACAAAGAAAATTATTCACAAAATATTTTATAATATACAATAGAAATATGAAGGGGCCATAAAAAGAACTTGGTATGGTAAGAATTTATAATAAAATAATCCAACAGCAAACTAATGCCTCAATTACATATTAAGTTTTCACCCACACTACATTTAATTATTAAATTGCTTATTAGCTTCACTTATACAAGTACACTAAAAAATAATTTTTAAATTCATATTTAGAGATACAAGCTGCTTAATAGATCTTGCAATTATGGCACAGTATGTCTATAAATGTTAAATATAATATGTTTCACACAGTAATTTTACTTCACTTTTAACATAAAAAACAAATATATTCTGGATGTTTTTTTTTCTAAAAAAGAAACATACAATTTAATCCTGGCACATAATTTTGTCAAACTTATTGAATTTCACACAAATTTATTATCAGGACCTAAAGTTAATATTGAGCATTTATATATTATTTTTCTCACTAATTTCAGCACAAAGGTTCTTAATATTAATTTGTTTAATATTATCAATGTCATAAGATTTAGTTAACATATTAAGGTGCTAGCAAATAACCTGACTTCATTATTATATAATTTTTTTTTAGTGGAATGGAACAAATTAAATCT